TGGCAGAGGCGGGGGCTGAGGCCGGCCGGGGCGGAGCTGGCGGCGTGCGAGAGGAGGCGGCACGGCCGCAGCAGAGAGCCGGGGCTCAGGGCCACAGCGATGCTCCGCCGGCGAAGCGGCGCCATGCGGCGGGCTCGGGGCGCGGGGCTGGCGGCGCTGGCCGCGCTGCTGCTCGGTGCGCGGGGGTGGCGGTGGAGGTGGCGGAGGCAGTGGCTGTGTCTCGGCCTGCCTGGGATAAGCACAGCACCGGGCTTGGGATTTGTCTCTGGCACTCCTTGCTTCTCTTTCACACACTGCCCTCAACCTTCCTCTCCTCAATGAATTCGTTCTCTCCCTGCTTGCCTGCTCTCCGAATCCATTTCTTTAGTCATTCATTGATTTATTCAACCATTCCCCCATCCATTCATTTCAGACAATCCCTCTTGCTTCATGATAAGTCTTCCCTTCTGCAGTCTGACACTTCTCCAAAACCTCCAACCTTCTTATTTCCAAGTTTTCACTCTGGGAAAAATAGTCTTTCCATCCTATATTCTCAGAACACATCCGAACTACCTGTGATTTCTCCTCCTCTGCCCTTTCCCATCTCTGCGTGGACGACTTTGCTGCTGATGGAAAGTGATTCTTCTTTTCTCAATGGCAGTGGCTGCGGGCAGAGCCCAGGTACAGCAGGAGCCGTTAGTGGAGACCATCGAGGGCATCGGAATCAACATCAGCTGCTCACTCCCCAAAATCCAGACTACCGATTGGATCCACTGGTACCGACAGCTCCCGGGGCGAGGACCCGAACTCCTCGCACTCATTATGAAAGAGTCCAAAGAGCTGCCGGAGATTGCAGGACAGCTGTTGGTGTCGGCAGATCGGCGTTCGAGCTCGCTGTGGCTCAGGCGGCCCCGGCGCGGGGACGCGGCCGTGTATTACTGCGCGCTGGGGCCACGGGCAGAGGAGCCGGGGCTGCGGCCGGGCACGAACCGCCGCGGGCGGGGCCGGGCGGGGCCGGGGGCACAGCGCCGCCCGCGGCCAGCAGGGGGCGCTGCCGCTCCGCCCGCCGGGGCCGCCTCGCCCCGCTCGTCCCCGCCCAGCAGGGGGCGCACAGCGACACCGACACCATCTCCAGTACTGGCACCAACACCGATAGGAGTCCAAGCTCCCCACCTATAAAACAAGGGAATGTAGAGGTCTTGGGCATTTTCAAGTGCTCCTCACAATGCCTCTGTTTTGAGACCACAAACTTCTTTTACAGAACTCAGAATCCTTGGAGTTGACCCCAGGAGACAGGGTAAAAATAGACTCACTGACACCCAGCTTCAAAGGCTGTGAGGTTCCTTCTTGATGAGTGGTTGGACATCAGTTTTCTAAGTTGACCTAAAAGGCTGGAGGTCTGAGGGGTGTGTGTCCCTGGGAAGAGGCTGTGGGCTCCAGCAGGTCTCCAAGGAACTCTGTGTGGCTTCAGTAGCTGTCAGAGCTGTTTAAAGCCCATGGTCAGAGGCTTCCTAGGAAGAGAGTGAAGGATCACTCCTGTTCCCTGTTCCTGTCTGGGCTTGGTAGCTCTGTCTTAGGGTTCCTCCACCACAAAAGTACAGAAGACAAGAGAGGGGTGGGAGAGAGAGTAAGACAGGGAAGTCAAACACTAGCCATGGTTTCAGAGACTCAGCTGCCCTCCTTTGGAAGGGCAGCACTGGTTGCTCAGCACCTCTGAATTCCATGACCAGGAGCTCTGTCCGCAGTCCAGCATCAGCTTCCGGGTTCCTGGGGGTCCTTGTGAAGGCTGCACCACTGGCTTTAGCATGGACGACACCTTCTGCCACCATAGCAGTTGGTGATGCAGGAGATGTCAAAGCCCCCGGAGCTGATGGGCACTCCACCACTGCTGAGGATGCTGCCAGCAGCAGCAGAGGTGGAGGATCCCACCACGGTGTTCTGTGGGAAGGAGCTGAGGATGGGGCCGGGCAGGGTCACCAGCACAGCAGGCGGCTCAATGACGACGGTGGAGCTCTGGCACTGCCTGACACAGCACTCATTGCAGCTGTTGGCCAGCGGGCAGGGGCCGCAGGGCTGGCAGCAAGGGTTGCAGGGCTGGCACTGCTGGCATTTCTCTATGTAGGACAGATCTTGGGGCATGAGGGACACTTGGAGAGAGGGCAGGAAGGGAGAAAACAGGGACACATGAGGAGCGGCCTGTCACATCAGGACTGAGTCAAATAATATGCAGGGCCAGGAGGTGGAACCTCTGCAGAGATGTATGAGGGCTCCTTGGCCTCATCTTGACAGGGCCTAAAAAGAGCCACCAGCTCCTATGCAGCCACTGCCCAAACTCCAAGTCCAGATGAAAACTGATCACAGTCCCAGCCTTCCTGCACTTCGAACCTTCTCCCCCTCCCATTGAACAGAGACTAGACAGAGCAAAAGGAATAAAATAGGTATTTATTGAAAGGATACATCTTGGGCAGTGCAAGAGCCTGCCTGGGACTACACCCAAGTCAAATCCAAGATAGATCCCAGTCATGAGTTTTTACACTTTT